CTACGCAGTTTCTGCTGGGCCGGCGGCACATCTGAACGCACTTTTATTTTATGTACAAAGCCAGCAGCCAAACCCAAAGGCTTAGTGAAATTTACAGCAGCTTGGCTGTTTTCTGTAGAAGATGCAACAGATCCATTCCTTATGTCAAGATGCAAAGCAGTGAAGAGATCCATACTAAGTAATGGTGTTCTGCCAGATACGATGTAGAATGAAGCCTGCACACAGTGACACTTAAAGGTAACATCAAGGGACAAGCACCCTAAAACTGGAATAGTCTTTTTCAAATATGTCACTAAATTAACATTAGGTGCATTAAGGGAAATATCTGAAAAGTGCTGGCGGTACAGGTTCTCTGGGATAATGGAAACAGTTGATCCAGTATCTACAAGTAGTTCAGTGTCAACTGATTTGCCACTCTCCGTGTGCAAGGAAACAGTGCATGTCAGATATTGTTTCTGTTTCATTTGCAAAGGCGTATCAATGCTTAAGACCGTTAACTCAGGCACAGTAACTTCTTGTACATTGCAGGTGGGAGCTGAACTACGACAGACTCTTGCAAAATGTCCAAATTTACCACACTGTCTGCATTTTGACTGTCTAGCTGGACATTTAGGGTAATTTGCTAAGTGAGATGTAGTGCCACAACGGAAGCATGTTTTTGCATCCATTTTTCCTTGCGAGTCACGAAATGGCATCTGATGAGAAGCTGTGGACTTACGCGGTACAGATTTCTGACGCCACCGCTGTTTTGTATCTTCACGTGGGCCAGTATGCACCACTTTAACTAAAGTTTCAGTCCGCTCCATAGCTTTAGCCTCTGCTACTGCAGACTCAATTTGTCCCGCGATAGTAATCGCTTTTTGCAGTGAGGTCCGTTTCCAACAGCAGACGTTCCCGTATACGTGAAGTGCATGTCTTCTCTACAATCTGATCTCTAATCATATCGTCCGCGCCAAAGTCACAGTTCACAAGCAGCTCACGCAGAGCAGCCACATACTGCACGATAGGTTCACCGAGTCTCTGAGCACGTTGGCGAAATTTATTTCTCAGCAACCACGTTTACTTTCTGCACAAAAGATGCTCGTAAAGCAGTCAGCGCAGCCTCATATTTGTCATCAGACACTGTAAGTGTGTAAAAAATCCTCTGTCCCTCTGTACCTAAGCAATGAATTAGCAAAGCACGCTTTCTCTTCTCTGGAATTTCCACTTCAGACAACGCCGTCACGTAGTTATCAAACATACGAATCCATGAATTAAACTGTATGTTCGGCTCACCGGGAGTTTCCAAAAAAGCAGGAGGGGGTGAGAGGGCAAGAAGAGCCATCCTCGTCGCCAATATGTTGTGTATTCGGAACAATGAATCTCTGTACGTACTCGGGTAGTAGTTCTACAACTGTTTTTCTTTTCTTTAATCAACCCCTCTCTCCCCATACCTCTACATTATCTTGTAACAGCGACACCTGCTGACACGTATGTATTTCAAAACACCACAGCCTGATTAAGGTAGGGTTGGAACGAAAACATTCTGGCAGGTGGGTTGCCAGGAACAGGATTGAGAACCACTGCCCTAGATAGTCTCACTCTGGCATTGTGACAGATATGCAATCGTATAAATCAGGGTTTCCCAATCCGGTCCTCAGGGGCCCAGAGACAGTCCACATCAGTGGGTCCCTGTGGACTGTCTGGCAGGGAGCATGGAGGAAGCAAAAACATGAACCGACTGTGGGTCCCTGAAGACCAGAATGAGGAACTCTGCAATAAATGAACTGGATATCCTAATGGTGGGGGACTAGGAGCAGGGGCAGAATTTGGGGGGGCTGCTGATCCTCACGGATGATGTCCTCACGGGACCTGAATACAGTAACATCTATAAACAGGATAATGTTCAGGAGCAGAGTATAAATTACTGTATGCGCGTCCTTCATCCAAGACCAAAGCAGCCTGGTTCTCATAAATCTGTTATCCTCCTGGAGCAGGGTGGGGTAGCTGCATAGTGTGTCATATAATCCCTTATACTCTGCTGCAACACGTGTCGTTCTCCCCCACAGAATATATTTCTCACTAACAATGGGATGAAAGCAAAGCTCGGCGACTTTGGAATTGCAAGAATGTTAAACAAGTGAGTTGCTGTAATCGCTATCTGTGTGAAGTGCAGGGATACACTGTGCCTAATCTGATGTTTTCTCAGCCATAAACACTGTTTATTGGGAGTATGTTTGGGGGGTCGGAGGCAAAATTGATGTTAATGTTTTTTTCTGTTATAAATAGCTGCATGAGTGAAGCAAACATTTCCAGCAGTTTTGTAAACAAAGCTGAAAAACCTGGCAAAGATGATCCTGTCTTTTATTTCTGTTTTCTGAGAAGCATAAAACTTATTGTTCAAATCTACACTGAAAGCAGGAAAGTTTCCTGAAATCAAAGCATTTAATTACTGAATCTGCCTGTGCACCAGCAAGCTTTTCATTGTCATTCTAAAGTCCCATGCAGCATCACAGAAAAAGTCCCCAAGAAGCAACAGTGGCTTGACCATTTGTTTTTGTCCACCTCAATCTATATATTCTCAGCAAATACATGGATTGAAAACAGAATCCTCTGTAAGATGGACGCAAATGCATATTAGTTGTTAGCTGATAGTTAAAATACCGTATATAAGTCCCCCATCCATTGTATCCTTGTGTTATACTTAACAGCTTTGCTTATTCTATAATGATATATATCTTTGTAAATTATTTGTCAAATTACAATATGATGATTATTTGTATACATTTTAGTTGATTGTTTTATTTCAGCACCATGGAACTTGCCAGAACGTGTGTGGGGACGCCTTACTATCTCTCGCCAGAGATTTGTGAGAACAGACCCTACAATAATAAGACGTACGTATCCCCTGTCCCTTTCTGCAACACACTTCCTGTTTTTAGTCTCTTCAGAAAAGGGACATTGACTTCTCCCCCCTCATTTGTTTGGCACCACAGTCAAGTTACCCAGAATTCAGTTGGGGGAGGTAGGAAGCATAACAGCCATAGTGGAAAAAAAAGCACTTCCTAGCTTTAATGCTTTTCAGCATGTTGTGTAGGAAACAAGATTCCATCTCCTTTGTTTCACACTCTGAAAGATGCTACAGTATGGGGGCCAGGAAAAGGCAGAACAGCCAGGTCATGAGGGCGATTGTTCTTTGAGCACCATATGCGTCCACATCCAGGCATATTAAACCAGGTGCATGTGAGTATTGAGATAGTGTGTGACGGCCAGCAAAGGCACCTGCTCCTCTAACTGATGGACCTCATCCAAGTATTTCTCTCAGGAACGAAAAAAAGAATGATTTTTATCCAGATCAGTAATAACTAGGGGCCACACCTAACCTCTGTGTTATGCCTAGATGAATGAATGCGCTGCAGTTCCTCAGTTAATGCTGTGCTCTGAATCCCCAGGGATATCTGGTCTTTGGGATGTGTTCTCTATGAGCTGTGTTCACTCAAACATGCCGTAAGTACTGATTCCAATGATATGTAAAAAAAGAATTGCTGTAAGTTCCATTAAAAAACAAACAGTCAAATTTATTTATTTGAAGGAGAAAAAAGCTGCATTTAAAATGGAATTTAATGTGTGTGATGCTCTCCAGTGTTCAGAATAACAGTGAAATAATAACACAGTATTAAACAGGTTGCAGTCTCTGTGCTAAGTGATTGTGTTGCTGATTGCAGTTTGAGGGCAGCAGCCTAAAACAGCTGGTGCTCAGGATCTGTAGGGGGAGCTTTAAACCCATCGCCTCCCGTTACTCATGCAACCTGCGCCTGCTGGTGACACAGCTGTTCAAGGTGAGCTCGCGGGACCGGCCCTCAGTCAACTCCGTCCTGAAGAGGCCCTTTCTGGAGAAACTCATCAGGAAACACCTGGATGCACAGGTGGGGCCCGACTTCACCTGCCAGTTTATACATCTGTGACTCTTGTCGTCTCTCGTCGCAGGTTCTGGGGCAGTTGTACTGGAAAATTGTTTTACTCATTATGCGCAGTGTCTCTTTCCATATACACACGTCAGTCAGTGCCTGTGATAAGAAGGTTTCCAGTTCAAATCCCACGGTTGGCAGAGTGATTTCACCATCGGGCACTTGAGCAAGACTCTTAACCCCGATATCTCTAGGGACTATCTAACCCTGCTTTTGCAATAAAAAATACATGTAGTTTTGGATAAAAGCAATTGCTAAATATGTGTAACCCTTCCCTGTTATATTAGCATTATCTCCAAACACCACCTATTTTCAGAAAAGGTTTATTTCTTTTTCTCATTTTTTAAATCTACAGTCCATGTTCTCACACCAGCATTATCAGCCATCTGTTTACCATTCCCTGGATGCGTATTTTTAGAGATTTGTTTATCAGACAGTTTTTGCATAATAGCCTAACCTCAATGTTCTCACATGAAAATATGAGCAGAATGCCCTCACTTTGCAGAACATATCTGACATATGTTTATATTCAGACCATAGGGACTGTAAAACTTTAGTGGTATCCAAATTAATGATATACTGACTTATCGTCATATAAAGTCTAAACGATAAGTAAATGACAAACTTCGATAAACTTTCGGTAAGGAACATTGCTTGATAGCACACGTCTGCCTATCACATCGCAGAAATTAACACTATTCCAACCAATCATATGGTAATAGGCAATTTTACCAGGGGTGAAATTGCACTCCCTACTGAGCAGGTGAAAATTCAGTTTCACCATAATAAGTTCAATAAACAGACAAATTAAGTACAAACTATATTATGAAATTATTTTTGAAAATGTGGCTTGTGATAGTCATATCAATGTGTAATAATAATGTTTAATGATTATGTTATTGAGCCCTGTGGGGAAATTCCCTTTTCACCCATCCCATAATGCTCTCCATGACACACACAGGCACATGCAGGTGAGAGCAGGCTTGGGGATCACAGTGCAGGATCAGCTGCCTTTTGAGACTCGAGCAGCTGGAGGTTAAGGACCTTGCTCAAGGGCCCACAGGCATGTGACTATTCTGCTCAGGCCAGGCATGAATCAGCAGCCTCCTCATCACATGCAAAGAGTGTTAATCAGCTGAGCCACGCACCCCCCCCCCCCGTTTGCTGTCAATGTATTCACCGTTTTTTTTTCTTTACAAATTTATATATCTAGATGAATGACTTTTTTGGCTCTCTCACCTCGCACCCGCTGGGAGAAAAACCTAGTGTCGCCTATGCATATGCATATGGTTGTCTTTTAAAAGCAGACGGCTTACACCCAGCAAACGCATTACAAGGTTGGTTGAGTTATCAGGACACATGGAAGAGATAAGCGCTCCCTCAGAAGAAGCTTCAAGTGTCGATTACGAAAGCAACAGCTCAGCAGCCACAGCATCTAAAAAAAGGAGATATTGTGGATTAACAAGATCAAAAGATGTCAGTGGGAGTACTTTTTGCATTTTGATCTCTGACACATTTTAGACTGGCTCTGCATACTGTAAAATCTGCTGAAACTAAGTTGGAAATATTGTGAATTGAATTCACCACTTGAAGCATTGCCATCCAGCAGACCATACAGAATGCAAGCGCTTACAGTCAAAAACACCAGCAATTAGGGTTTCCATGCTCAGTGTGAAGAAATATGGTACAAATTGCATGCTGTATTGGTTAGATACAGGCCATAGCATTATACTTCCTATTGGGTAATGGGTGACAACTGTACCAGCAATGTCAAACCAGTGTTGTGGAAAGAGCAGCAAGGCAGCCAATGAAAAAACCCAGAGACAAATCAGACCATCTGCATCTTCTAAAAAAAAACTTAAAAAAGGTTTTTTTTTTTGTATGGTTTATTTGTTTAATTTAGATTTCAATTTGCAGTCCATTAATTTTTTTGCATTTTCCTGTTCTGAAATTGTTTAAGAGCAATTCTAAGAGAATTTTAAGCAAAAACGGAATCATGAAGTAAAGAAATTATGTGAATTACACCGTAATAATCATCAATATCGACGCATGTGAGAAACATAATCATGATAAAACATTTTGCCATAATGCCCAGCTCCAGTGGTGAGATTTAATTTTGCGTGAGTGTTAAGGTGGGTTGGTCAGGCATGGTATTCCAGTCTGCAGCATTTAAGCAAGGAAACTCTGAAACTCTGTTGGAAATGTTTAGTAGTACCTGGATAGTTGGGATAAAAGCAGACTGGAATAGGTCAGGTGACTACTCTTAAATATTCGTGGACAAATAAAAGAGAGTCCAAGGAGTGCAGCTATGACACAGTCACAACAGTACAGCTGAGTGTTAAATTAGGGAGGACACTTTGAGCTAGAACAGGATTTTCAATTAAAAGGACCTGGATTTCACTTAAGCACTTGCTGTGTGCTGATTGGTCAGGCTCCTATAATCATGCATGTGTCCCTAATGTTGAAGTGAAACAGCTGGATGAGTCTATCAGTCAAGGAAACAAACCAGCAAAAATAGAGCTGAATTATTTAGCCAAGCACCAGAGTCTTTCAGTAGTTTGTAGAACTTGAAGTAGCTTAAAGTGTCCTCCCTGACATAGATTATCTGGTTAAGTTAGCTGTTCATTTAGGTGATCGGTGGTCATTGTTGACACACCACAATGAAATGGGTCCTCTGCATTTAACCCATATGTGACATAGCAGGTGGCAGCTAATTCAGCACCCAGGGAGCAGTGCTTGGGTGCAGTACCTCACTTAGGGTACCTCAGTGGTGCCTTGCTGGTCAGGGATTCGAACCTGCAATCTTTCAATTACAAGTGCACTTCCCTAACCATTAAACCACCACTGCCCATAGTCACTGTGTCACCAGTTAAGCAGGTATGTTCATGACATGTGATTTTCTGTGATTTCTTATGTATGTGTAGTGCTGGACATTGAATAAATAAAACATTAAGATACCATTAAACGTTTAAAGATTTTAAAAGAATTTTAAGAAGGCCATGGACTGCAAGGAGAACAAACAAGTGAATTCAAGCAGAATAGCAGCATGATTGAGGTCTGTCCCTGTCTTTCTGATGCTCCCCCATCCCAGATGATGGCAGAGGAGTTCAGCCACACTGTGCTGCACAGAAGGAGCCCCCCACGCCCCCACCCCCAGACACGGCCCAAGCCGAAACAGGCTGCAGGTACCAAGGGTGTGGAAGGGAGTGTCAGCTGAAGCATCTGGTTACTTAAGCAACTACGAAAATGCCATAACATTTCAGTACCTGTCTGCACCCCCAGTGTATCCCCCCCCCCCATTCATCTGGACACAGAGCCAGACATATACATTCTGTCATGTCATCAGGGCGGCTACTCAGCAGCTGTAGTAGACTGTCGCTAAGCCCACAGTCATGCCAGTTATAGCAAATAAGAAAATGTACCACTTCCAATCACCCTAATGATGCCACATTAGATGATAAATCTGCTCCTGGGAAATATCATGAACTTACAGTTTCAATGAACGGAAGCAGAAATATTTTTCCCTGGATTAACCTTACCACTGCTCTGGAATTGAGTTGCAACATAACTGCAATCCAGTGAACTGGGTTTCTCTGCCCTGCCTGATTGACAGAGCTTGTCGCTAAGCCTAGAGCTGCAGAGAGGCCTGCTCCCTCTGCCAAGCCTGGGGGCTTGGCGAAAAAAACACCCCTCAGACGAGTGTGGAATCCCCCAGCCAATGTCTACACTCCAGAGTATCAAGTATTTCTCTCCGTTCTCCTGATTCATTTTTCCAGTTTTCCTGTATACTGCACAACATAATGCCTTGCAGGTCCTTGCAGGCAACATAAAGCAGCTGTACCTGAAGGCAACATGTTTTTTCAGAAGCATCTTCCCATGTATCTATGTAATTGCCATGATTTAGTGAAACATTTTTTTTTGTTGAACTACTTGATTTTTATCCACTTGAGGTGGATCTTAGTCAGATGAGTGTAGGTTAAGTGCCTTTTGTAGTTGGATGTATATTATAATAGGCTAGTTCCTCTTCCCCTCACTGGGAATTAGCATGTATTTAGTGCTTCTCTCTGCCCCTCAGCACCCGGTTAACCACAAAGCGGCACTGAAGGAGAAGATTCCGAACCAGGACCATTGGACCAATCACATGGTGAATCTGTATGACCAACCGCAGGGGCTCTATGTCCACTACCACGCCCAGTTAGATGCCATCCAGCAGAGACGCCAGGAGGAGACCCCTCCTCATCTTTATCCTCCTCCTCCTCCTCCTCCGCCAGCAGCCATTCAGGAGAAAGGCAGAGATCCACAGAGTGACTGGGCACATTGTCCATATCAGCCATATCAGCTGTGAGTTTCTGGCACAGCACCAGCATGTGAACCGAGCGTCAGTAATTCACTGAAATGCTGCTATCAGTATGAACTAACCAATGGGAACTGTAAAGTAGCTTTCGTGCTTATTGAATGTTTATGCGCATCTATGACTTATATATTGATAGATAATGGTGCCAACAATTGAGTCCAAAAGATCACATCATCCAATTAATTGCAGTTTGCTTTCTAGACTGAGTGAGTCTGCTAGTGTTAGTGTACAGATGTGCTGTTCCTCTAGGGTGGTGGCTGCGCGGGAAGAATATCTGCAGAGGAGACAAGAGGCCAATCAGAACAAGCTGAGGGCTGAGAAGCAGCTGGTGAGTTTCATACTGTACCCCAGTGAGACACAGCTGGTGAGTTTCTCTCATACTGTACCCCAGTGAGACACAGCTGGTGAGTTTCTCTCATACTGTACCCCAGTGAGGCACAGCTGGTTTCTCTCATACTGTACCCCAGTGAGGCACAGCTGGTGAGTTTCTCTCATACTGTACCCCAGTGTGACACAGCTGGTGAGTTTCTTTCATACTGTACCCCAGTGAGACACAGCTGGTGAGTTTCTATTTGTCTGTAATTTCCATGAAAATTTCATGTATTGAGCCTATTTCTTTATGAAGGAAGCATTTATGTTATTATTATTGTTATTATTATTATCATTATTATTATTGTCATTAAGCTACAGGGTTCTGGGAGTTTCTGACAATGTAAAGTCACGTATCATTATCAGTTTATTGTTTTTCCGCATTGCAGTGTAAGTCTGTCCTCTACGATGACATGAGGACTATTATAACTTGGTGAGGCCTTACCATCGGTGCACTGACCCCAGGGTCAGTGTGGTTTCAGAGTGACTCTGTTGTCTCTGCCCTGTCCCCTTTCATACCCTCAGTCATCCCTGGACCCATATTCCATGTCTTCATTCCTCTCTTACTGCTCACTGTCTCTGTTCCTTGTCTCCTGTTCCTTATTCAATATACCTCCATCAGGGTCTCCGGCCCTCCACTGCAGACTCAAATCAGCCCAGGGGGCAAGAGGCCAAGCATAGAGGGGAACCCCCACCGGACCAGCACCAGGAGGTAGGAGGGGAGGAGGAGAGATGTGGGACATTAGAGAGGAGTGTGGAGGCACAGAGTGAAGGAGAGAAGGAAGCTGACATTTATCACATTCAGGGAGGGGCCATATCTTCAGTCTGCCAGCTTTGCTTGATTTTTTATTAGGCCTTTCATTTACCAGCACATTATTACAAGAACAGATTTAACATTACAATCAGAATAAATACATTTACAGATAATTTATCATTTATACTTTTCAAACATGATTAAATTGAAATTTCTTTTGCTCCTTCCCAGTTAGTACAGCATGTCACTGCAGATGATGAATCAGTCAGGCCCGAATTGCATCACATTGTTTAGATTAGTTAACCTTGCTGGCAGCTGGACTCTGAGGGTGTGGGATTTGCAGTGTCTGGGTGCGGTGCACATTGCATAAACATGACATGCACCTCAGGCAAGCTGCACTGTTTATTGACTTAATGCAGAATTACTGTGTCTCAGTTATATGCATTACATTGGCAGCCCAAAAATACATAAACTAACATAACATCATACCTTTCTTTCTAGGCCATATGATTTGTTCAAGCATTGCTCCAAAGGTGGAGATGTACTGTGTAGGAAAACATAATCACTGCTGTAACTCTCTAAATGAGAAAGTTTGACAAACAACAATGTAGAAACAATATAAGCCAATGAACTGTGGGTTTACTAGGGTTTACTGCTTGAGAATGGAAAGTTATTGATGGTAAAATTTAACATAAAGTCTGGTTCATTTTGGGGGAGGTGTGAATATTGGGAGAGTGTGAATGCTGAATTAATAGCATGTGTGAAATATAGGTGTGAGAACACAGAGCGTGCATCAATACTGTGAAAAATTCAAGTCAACAGCTTGAATTCTAGATGAACATCTTGAATACCAAGTGAATGTAATTCATTCTGATCCAGTATGAATTCTGTCTATGAATATTTCAGCAATACTGGGAGTAACAGTAAATGTTACTACTGTATACTACTGAGTGAGTGTTCATGGAGTATGAATATTGATTGTAAGAGTGATGGCAATACTGTAAATGATGAGTGAATACTGAATATAAACAATGATAGATTATGGCAGGTGATCAACTAGTGAGGCATGATGTATAACCATGCTGTCTGTCTGCAGGAGTATCTGAAACAGCTGCAGGTGATCAGACAGCAGTATCACGAAGACGTAAGGGGGATCAGGATGAAGGCGGGAGTGCATGTATGAGTGTAACACGGAGTGCTGTAAAGCCATGACCAGTGGCAGACTGTAGAAATCAACAGGGTGCAATTGGGCTCCCAGCTCAAAGTCTGAACGGGACCATTGTTGCTTTCCAGAACAAAGAAGGAGATTTTGTAAAGCGGCCATTCTTAAGAGAAGTTGCCTGCTAGATACATCATAGCATCTGACTACATACATGGAGTTTTGAAAACACTGCAGGACACACAGTATTTACAGCATATTTTAAAGTGATTCTGATCTTTAGCACTGTGGTTTAGTTTGAGTCTCAGAACACTTGTGTGCTAATTAATGGATGATAAATGGAATCTATTTAAAGTGTTTTTAACTGTCCAGTGTCACAATGATGCCACCTAGTGCAAACAAAAAGTAATTGAAATTATATTCAGTTACTTTTCAATTTTTTTTCTAAGAATGTCAATTGTCCATAATAAAGCTCAATGTGATGGTAATATTGTAATCAATTGGATAATTTGTCATGTTGCTCTAGCAGAAGTGCTGTAATCAACCTAAGGATAAGGCAGGGTGGTTCTCTCCTAAACCTGTAAGCAGATCAGGGACCAGAAGCAGGGCATTACCTTCTCAGTGACACTCACACACTGTGTCACACGCGTACCGGATTGTGTTCTCACACAATGATTATTCTGAAAACCAGATATCAGGCAGGGAGATAGGCAAGCTGCCCCCTGGGACGTTTTAAATGCATATGGGGGACAGGAGCTGAATTATATGCCCTCCCAATGTGATCCTCTCCCAAAGGACTCAGAGAGAGAAACTGAGAAGCTGGACAAGATGCAGCAAAATAAGGCGGCACTGCAGAGGAAGGACAAGTGGAAGGTGAAACACCAAGGCAAACAGACTTTTTAAGGATGAGTGAAGTTTTAAAAGTGACACGTGTTTTTTTTTTATTGATTCCAGAAAGGAATCATGTTTGAGGTTCGCCTGAATGATGAAGCAATACAGACTGGGAGAAAAAGAGAAGGGAAAGAAGAGAAAGATCGGGGATATGATGAGGACAACGAAGAGGACGAGGAGGAGGTAGAGCTGAAAGGGAACATCATCACTGAGACACATAAAGCCAAACTCATCCTGTTTCAGGACAGATCTGACCTCATCACCCAGTCTGTACTAAACTGCAATAAAAACAAAACACTTTCCAACAAGGAGAGTGTGGTAAAGTGGAATGATATTGATCTGGCCTTCTGTATGTAAGAGTGTGATTAGAATAGGCAAAGGACTTAATGGAGTAACTAATGTTTGTCAGATTTAACCACAAGTTCTATATGACATCTATGGTCTATAACAATATGTACAATACTTATCTACTAAATATTAGTAAATATGCTTTGGGTGAAGACATCTGCAATATAACATGACAATACAGTATTTCTTCACCTTAGACGTTCCCTGCGTATCTAATTCCAGGAAATGGACCCATTAAACCAGACCCTAACATTCCAGGCTGGAGAGGAACTCAAGCACAGGGAGTGGATTGGTGTGGGGGCAAAACCAGTGGCAGAGGAGGACCCAGAGGCAGTCCGGAGGAAGGGCTGGGGTAAGGAGGCCCCCGGGACACTGCTCGGTGCCCTCGCCAACATGGAGGTGTCCTCCATCTGCACCACGTCTGCTCCTGCCCTGGGTGAGTCTAACTGCAGTGCCTCCATGACTGTACCTTCACACTGTCATCTCCCACAAACTCACAGTCTGCCTTTTTCTTAAGCCCCATCTCCAGTCTGGCTGCTGTCTGTTTGCTAAGAAAACTGCTGGAACACCAGGGCCACACTGTTCCCTAACCTGTGTCTAACATAAAAACAGCATTTTGCTGTTTATCAGCACGATCCTGTCATGACTGACATTCAGTTGAATCCGTTGTGTGTGGTGTCTCTCCACGACTTGCCAAGCAGAAGATGGGGGACCCTGGGAACAGAGGAGACTGTGGGCCGGGGGGGCACCAAACACTCTACTACAGGCCTTCGGGCAAGCAGCACTTACCTCTACTGTCACCTTCAAGCCCTCAGGTAAAAACTTGCTCCTCAGATGGGTTCAGAACCCTACAATGTTTCTCAATCCCCCCCTCAGTTAATGCTTACATTTTTCTCTAGATGCATATTTATATAAAGCCATTCTTTCATTGCAGATTCTTAGGTTTTTTATCTCTCCTTCTGTTTACCAATCAATACCTTTCCTCTTTTTTAAATTGCCTTTCACACGGACACCCCTGACCCCATAGGAGAGGGAGAAGATGAGGATGATGAAGGCTCAGGCACAGACGTGGATGCAGAGCGACTGGAGCCCCGGTCAGACGACGACGACACGTACGCAGCTTCCCCGTCTCTGTTGCTCTGGAGCCGAACAGCACAGCACTGGTTTCAACGGCATTTCCCTTTTTTTTTTACCCTGCTATCCAGAAACTTTGAGGAATCAGAAGATGAGCTGATGGGAGAGGTGATTGAATCCATGAAGAACTGTATCCCTCAGGAGGAGATGGAGGAGGAGAATGGAGAAGATGAAGCAAACAGAAAGCAGACAGAGGGCCAAAGGCTGGAGACCGGTGATGGGGAGACAGAACATGCCATGGCCACCACACAGAACACTCAAGCCAGGCGTCACAGCCAGACTCCAGAATGCACAAATTTGCAGATGCAGTCAGGAAATCCAGGTGTCGTAGACGGGGATCAGGCCGATGGTGGGGAAATCACCGCTGCCGAGCAGGGGCTAAGCTAGCAGAGACTCAGCATGACCAGCACTGTGAGGAAGCTCCCCAAGACAGCAGCACACAGTGACAGTCCATCTCAGGGATATGACAGGTCTCCGATCAGCTCGAACATCTCATTTGCAGGCCCATCATGCAGCTGCGCTTTCTGGTCTCATTACTAGTTAAATGTTAAGGGGTCTCTCCCCAGTGTCTGTACAGGGGAGGTGGGTGATGAAGAGGGATATACTTCTGGTGCGTACATGGCACCTACTTACTGTACTGGGCTCCTGGTTACATCTCTAATAGAATGCAGCAAAATAGGCAATGGAATCAAATTAAGTCAAAAGAATTCAAAACAGAACACATAACATTCTGGAATGCAAAGCGATTTGGTGTGACGATATTTTGTTTCAAACTTTAAGTGTGGAAAAACTAACCAGGCCAGAAGCATTAGCAACAATTCCTGAACAATGTCAAAAACCCCAAACGATTTTCTAACAGAAACATTAAAATTTCAACTGAGAAAAAAAAATCATATGCCTCTTTTTCTCTGCACCAACCTCACCAGCAAAGTCTTAACATGGCATTGGATCTTTAGAATCTGATGTATAATTTATTAGCACGTAAAATGAAACTCCAAAAAATAAACCAACAAGTTCTTTCATCATATTGATCATTCTGAAGACGATAGCGTATTTACAGCAACTGGGGATGGGGGAGGGGCTGAGCTTGGTCCCACATGGGGCTACATCTCCTGCAACATGTCGCTTCGTCCGCCCCTGGTCTCAGTAACACGTACGGGAATTACGTGGAGAACACTGAGGAAAACGGGTGACTGACTGAGGGCATCCGTCCACTAGAGGCACCCTAACAGAAAGCTGTACGACACACCGAAGGGGAGAGAAAAAGGCTACAGTGTCTAAATCCAGTTACAGAGGGCTGAGTCACAATCATGGGTTAATAACTGAGGCCTCTGGCAAGCACAGGTGGCCCTGCAGACGGGTGGCAGAGGCCGGCTGGGGTAAAGCCACTGAGGGAAGCTGGGGGGAATGCCGAGCTCTGCGAGGCCCCCGTTCCTCACTGCACCACCATTCCCATGACGGACTCGATGGCAGACAGAAAGGAGGCCTCAAACTCCTGGTCGGAAAAGCGGGCGACAGAGCGGCGGGCATTGCGACGAATCTCCAGGCGAGTGGCCGGGGTCATGGCCAGGATTCTCTCCATGGCATCTGTGTAAGTGGCCACGTCGTCTGCCAGGAAGCCTGTGGGGCTCCCCTCGTACGGTACCACAATGTCCAGCAAGGGGCCCCCCGACCTGTGGGCTAGGACTACTGCCCCAGCTGCCATACACTCTACCACACCTATTGAAGGAGAAAGAGGGTGAGGGCAAGGGAGGACAGATAAAGCATGAAAAGAGGAATAAGGTCAAAGACATTCATTTGTAAACTGAAGGTTTCCCCCCAAAAAAAGATCTAGAAAAAAAATGCTGGCATAAAATTACAACAGTAATAATAAATATATAATACAGGTGATTTGAAATATCACAAAAAAAAAAAACTAGGATGAGTGTGTTTACCTATCCCGAAATGCTCATTCCACATGGTGTGCAGACCCACAGTAGCACCAGTGAGCTCCTTCTTCAGCTCCTCAAACTGAACATTTAGCTTGAACTCCACCCTGTCGGCCACATTCAGCTCCTGGCAAAGCCCCCGTAGCATCAGCACCCGGTCCTCGTCCTCCTGGTTTCGGCAGCCTCCAATCAGCACCAGCCTCAATGACTCGCGGCCCAGGCCAGCCAGCCGCCTGTCCAGCAGGGCCCGGAAGGCTCGGATCTGCAGACGGTGATCCTTCTCTGGGCGGAACTGGGCCACCGAGACCAGGGAGTGGCACTTCCTGCCAGAGCCCTGCTCTTCCTCCTGCTCCTCCAGAGGAGAGTTTAAAAATGTATGGACATCGCATGGAGGGTAAACAATGGCGGTTCGGTTGGGTACTCGCCACAGGGCCAGGATGTGCCCCAGTGTCCAGCTGGAGTTGACCATGACCATGTGGCTGCAGGAGCCCGCCAGCCCATAGAGCAGCGCAAAGGCGCAGTAATAGACCATCTTGATGGCGCTCAGCAGAGGGTTTCCAGCTATGTAGTCCGCATTGTTGAAACGCGCGTCCCGCTCACGGACCACGGACAGCATGTCAGTGCTCACAGTGGGGTAGTGCACGTAGCTGACCACGCGGCAGCCGCCCAGGTGGCGGAACAGGGGCAGCGTGAAGGCGTAGCCCATAGAGTCCACATAGACATCAGGGACGAACTCTGTGAGCGCCTCCCAGCCCAGGAAGACCGAGCCCACGCTCTGGCCCAGCAGGGTGAAGTGGGGATACAGACTAGCCTCCACGAGGAAGCGGTGCTTCAGGAACACAAACTTGACAGGCCGGGGCATGCGGATATTGAACCGCTGACGAGCTCCTTCGAGAATCTGCTCCCCGGTCACACCCAGATCTCCAGTGTACACCACAATGGAGACATCTTGGTATCTGAAAAACACATGGCGAGACCCCACACGTTCAACATCCCACTATTCAGCATGCTGTGATTTCAAGTGCCGATGACATACTAGAAACAGTGAGCTTAACTTTAAGACATTTTACAGACATTTTCTCTGTACCGAGTACAGAGCTGTCTACTGAACTTCTTGCCGGATTTAACTTCAATGACTCAAGACTTTCATATATGATATGCTGTCCAAAAAAGTGGATTAGTTTTAAACTTTATCACATAATTCTATGCAAAACATCAAGCTTTCCAAGGCTGTCCAATTCAGTAATGCTGGAATCCTTAATGGACTCAACTAATACAATCTGATGTGGGGTGCAAAACTCAAGAAAACCCCAGTACGTGTCCCACCTGTTCTGCAGAGCTCTGATGGCACACCAGAGAACCCTCTCCCCGCCCCCTCCGGCATTACAGTAGGGGTGAAAGAATGCGACGGACAGGGCTTTCTCCCGGGCCAGTCGGGCGCTCCGGCTCCGCTGCAGCCACATGCGGACCCCCAACATAAGAAAGGCTAGAATCGCCGACAGCACCACGCACAGATAGACGCATGGTAGAACGAGGGACCACAATAATCTGGAGGAGAATATTGATGCATTAGGTAATGATGAAATCAGTTGCGCAGCTTAGACTGTCTAAACCAGGGGTCTCCAACTCCGGTCCTGGAGAGCTACCGTCCAGTAGGTTTTCTATCATACCCGGCTTCTGATGAGCTACACCTGTTCTCAGGTAAATACCAAGAACAGGTGTGGCTCATCAGAAGCCAAGTGGGACAGAAAACCTACTGGATGGTAGCTCTCTAGGACCGGAGTTGGAGACCCCTGGTCTAAACAGAAAAGAACACAGTGAGCGACAAAACGAGACCACCAAACACTGCAATAATATTTTGCTGCGGTCTCCCTAAGCAGTAAGTGCGTAAAAAAATGAAACTATCTTACGTCCACTGGACGAAATCTAACAAACACCCTGATAAACGTTTTAATTACAGAACCATTCAGATACAATCTAACGAACGGAGTTCATTATTATAAAATAAATAAAACTGACCCCCTAAGGTTTCGGTCGTGGTTTATTTTATACTAAAGTATACAAATAAACTATCCTATATTAACCTCATTACATACCAACTACCGATGATCATTAGGTACAATATCTGCAAATTCTGGATGTTTAAACAGCGTATATAAATTATAATTTTTAAAAGAACACCTGATTACGTCGCATAAGCAGAGAGACAAGTGGTCGTGCGCAGCCATTTCTGACAGCACAACGTTACCTTTGACCCGGATGTTAATGTCAGAACCTTTCGCCGCGTAGCAATTCTGTGATTGGACACAAAACAAAGAATAGATCACGTGTTGGGTGAGGGAGCGTCTGGTTGGATCGTTCGCCTATTTGAATGTGCGGCCATCGATGTCAATTTTGTCTCGATTCATTCACTGGCAGGGTGAAGTTGTTGACTGGTGTATAATTAACTCTAAATACCTATGGCTGCAAGCGTAGTTCTGTGATTTGTTTTATACTTGCATGAATTAATGACGTAAAATCTCTTATGACCAGGACGTTAACACTGGGTGGTGTGGTTTCGCGGTGTTTTCACGGTGGCTGAGCAGCACTCCTGTCACACCCCTTCAGCATTGTCCCTGTTGTCTGTGTGTGGCTCCCCGTGTAGCGGGTTTCCTTCCACAAGCCAAAGACAGACGCTTGTGTGGTTTCCCAGCGTGTGTGTTCGTCTTGCGGTGGCGTGGCATCCCGTCTTCGCCTTGTAATTTGAGTTTCTTGGGATGGACTCCAGACTTCCCATGACTCCGTACGTAAGCGGTTGGAAGCACGTCTATTATCGTTAACGAAAGCTAAAACTGTAAAAAAGCATTCTCAAAAACTTGACGTTTTTACGTATCGTGTTTTAGGATACTATATAGCAGAAGTAATGATCTGTGTATACGCCCCCCCCCCCACCATGGCAATCATTTGAGGAAACGTAATCCAGTATATTGCGTTTAGTGACCGTTAATGATGTCTGAGACGTGTTTCCCATTTCGGAGGACATTAGTACATAATGTGCACCATATACTCATATAGGATGCTCTAAAGATCAGACACATAAAACAGATCTATAACTTTGTCTGTCGTTAGAAATAAAATTACTAAAACGTAAACTAAAATATATAAAAACTACACAGGAGTATATCTTTAAAAGGAAAGCTAATAAAAACGAATAAAACCACACAAAACTAAACCGGATTTCAAATGAAAATTGAAATTCATTATTTAAAAATCTAAAGTATAATAACACTGATTGGAAGATGGACGTTGAAACTCCCTTTTCCAACAGATGGCGATATTTTAAAGATTTTCTTAAATGAAACCTCTAACCACAGAAAACCTACGCAACATGTGAACTCCATATATATAACAATTGTAGGATTTGACCCATCAAACCTATTGGTATGTCAGACAACATGGCAAGTTGTGGTATTTAAATGGAAAACAAAGATGCAATATTTATCCTGAACAGTCATTTATACGGTTAGACAGAATTTATATCCAGATTTTAGCATGTTTTATAGTCTAACTTCCCCTGAACTTGCATCAAATCATGCACGATCATTTTTTATGTTAATATAATGGCGACTTAGAAAACGAATGGCAAATTGTTGGTTTAAGAACACATTAAAACATAACATTGAATATGAAACAAAGTGTGACATTTCTAGAGGAAGATTCAGATATAGTATGTCCTTTGATATCACATCCATTAAGCTAGATACGGATTTTAAGACACTGAGGAGCTGAACACAAGCTCTGGTGAAACTAGATATGACACATAGGCAATAGATCCTGTTCGTAACACATCAATGTGTCTGATGAAGCCCATTCTGTGCAGGTTCTTCCTCAATGTTATTAAAAACTGTATTTAAAAGGAGTTATGCGTATGAACATTATAGACACCCACAGATTATTTTCTTGCCTATTACCTTATAAAGAAAAGCATGACTACTTCCTGCTCTATGTCGCATTACACTTCCTTCCTCCTTTTTCTTTAAGAACATTCGCTGGCATTTGGCGGGTCTTGCAGTCTCCCATCATTCAAGGCACTCAGGCAAGAGTGACGGAACCTTCCCGTTGGCCTTTGAATCGCACCCAAAGCTTCTCAGACTCAAGTCCTCCAGGTAATTAATCGTCCTTCTCATAGGCTCCTCCATCATCACCTTAAGGGACAGAATGGACCGGATTGATCTTGTGCAGAAAGTTGCAGATTCAGTCTATGAGGGGTAGGGGCACAGATTGCACATGCTACTGTTGAGTGAGGTGGAATCAGGAAATGGCTGAATTGTTTGTAGAAATCCATAGATACTGTTTGAAGCTGTAAGATCTGTGAGATGATTTTGATTGATATATTTTCAAATGTAAAGAAATGAAAGGACAGAAAGCGTCCCACTGGGAACGGATGACTGCCACCTCTTATTGCTGCTATGCTATAACATGTAGCAATAAACAACAACATAATAGCATGTGGTTACTGGAGAATTACAATTTGATGTAAAGAACCAAACTCAGGCCTGCTTCTGGGTATGCAGGTGAGAGGAGGGGTGTTGTGACTTAAGCCTCATTTTGGTCACTGATTTAGTATCCTTCATTAGCATGCATGGTTGTACAAATACCAGAGCACAGTGTGTCCACCCCAGATCCCTCCATTACTCAGAGTTTGCCCGTTTGGTGTAACACCTCCGCACTTGTATCATGTGAATTAAGATCAGCCTCATAATGGACTCTTTCTGTTAGAATATGAAGCCACATCAGCAAAAGAATTATATACATAATCTAGAGAAGTAGATTTGATTATTTTGTTCTATGTTAGAAAATGTTCAGATTTTAAACTACCATTTGAGTGCATTTTTTCAACGCTTGTGATAAATTTGCATATATAGCATACCAGCTTCAAAGGGAACAGCAGAACAGACAGGCAGTCCATGGAGGTGAAGAGCCATAAGATTCACTGGCTGTGAAGAAAAAAAAATACAAGACTTCCTCGGGTTAAAAAAAAAAATACTAACAAATAACTGAGACCCCAAACAATTAATAATATGTGGCATCTATACTTCCAGAAGTTTATTACGACATTGGGTTCATTAAGACCCAGAGGCAGGGAATAGGGTGAGTTAAAATATATACGAGGGACAGTATTCTGTTTTTTCCAGTTAGGGGAAAAACTCACCAGTAATTCAACTATTTTAAATTAGACTCAAAATCTCCCAATGTACAGGACCCAAAGTAAGCCTTCTTCCTGACTCCAGAGCAACTTTTTCTAAGATTCATACATAATTAAAAGCATTTTATGCATTTATACTTTAATTGTAGATAATGGTGAAACGAAAGTATTCAGAAATGACAGTATGGTGCTCTGGTTATGGAAATTACTGCCATCGTAACGACTTACCTGCAAGCAACATAATAGTTACGAAACTGCAATACTATAGTACGAACCGAGTGCATAAATCAAAAAGAATATCTTAATATATAAAACAAAAGTAATAATTAATTTGGCATCAGTTCATAAAAATTCTACTAATGAACATCTGTACATCTTTCTATACAGTCAAGAATTACGTGTGCTAAATGGGGCAGTTTTTCAGTCGGAGGTCGTTGCAAAATCCTGCATACGATACATCCGGATTACAGCGGTGTAAATGTAGTAATGTATCTGTGCATCACTTGCGGTAATGACTGACAAATAAGCACAGTGTAAAACTGACGTATAAGGCAAAATATACTGGAGGCTAATGATTTCAGCACCCACACCCATGTTTGGTAACCGTTCTTGGGTACTCGGGCACGTGCTCTCAGTGTAGATGCAAACTTACTGTGGGATTAAACAGTAAATATCAAATGCATTTTAATATCAATGGTTCTGAGTTATGGATTACGATAGTCGAAAATATTCGACTGTCGGCAATTGAATTCGTTATACGTGCTTGCGTGAGCGTAGTGTTTGAAACAGGCTGTTAGCATTTCCACTTTTTGCTGCAAAAAACCGCAACGCTGGCAGTTTCCTGTAAGCTGTTCCGTGAGCGAAGATCGCATCTCGCACCTTCATCTCGCCGAAGGAGTCGCGCTCCCTCCGAAGCGAAGAGGATATCCGCACCTGCCTGTCAGAGCATGCATGCAGCATGAAGAAACAGCACTCTCGTTTTTCAAAAATCTAATAAAGCGAAATAAAATAAAGTACTAGAACTTATAGTGTTGTCTTTGCAATAGCTGATTAAGGAAAAACAGAAGACTGACCGAGTAAGAGGAACCACTTTTTAGGGTAAACACGGACACTAATGACAGTTAGAGGAAATGTCATCACTAAGGAAAAATATAAAGGCAGAGCACTTTGCTTTCATGTTACCTACACTTGATGGTAGACATGAAATTTAAAGAGATTGCCTGGAATGTGTTGAAGGTAAACATTTGGATCATGGCAGTCCTTCATGTGTGAATTTAAGTAACGTAGCTGACACTTTTTATCCAGAGAAAAAAAATACTTAGGGTCCCTCCTCTGGTGTACCTTTCCATTGGCAAATGCATGAGGACATAATTAAAGGAACAACTGGTATCAGACAATGGATTAAGCAAATGTAGGCTGTTCTTTTTTGGTAATACCTTAAATATATGGCTGAAGGAATGAGATCTAAGTGTTGTAAAGTGAACTTGTGTGTTAGCTCATTGCCTTTTGCTGTTGCTGAACCCAATTTTGACCTTAAACGGACATTTTTCCACAGAGGCAGGAACAGGGAAGTATCTGGGGTTTCAGATCAGTAAAAAAGTCTCTGACTTAAAAGCAAAGGGAACTCAAGATGACATGGTCAATCAGGAAGAAATGACCAAAAGTTTGCTATGTAGTTGAAAAAAATTAGACATGGTTTTTCATAAACCACATGCTCAAATGTTGAAAATAGTTTAAGTCTGAATCCCTCTTGTGGGTACTTTTAATGGTTTTGTGGTTCTACCTGAACACAGAAACAGGACTTTCTTGTTTTAAGCCCTAAACCTTAAACAGCATCAATAGTGCCCTCGCTGCCTACATATAGACTGTGTTTGGTGTTGTCATGATTTCAGGTACCTGAAGCTCAGAGAGTTGCAAGATGGCACAAATATCGCAGGAAGAGATGGAGGACCTAAGGGAGGCCTTCTCCAAGTTTGGTGAGAGAAAGCATGTAATTTAACAGACCTTGATACTTCATGTAGCAGAGCATGATGAGATGGTATTGTGGAAGAAAACAGAAGTCTGAAAAATGTTAATTAAAACAGCTCTGCAAAGTTTTACACAATAGTATCTCTGAATTATGCAGAAATCTGACCCCTCCTGTAGGCTCTATGATCACCCTGGGAAATTGTTCATCTGTGCTCACTTCCTTGACACTTGTTGATGTGTATGTGTTCGCTGCTCCAGCTGTAAAGGGGAGATTGCATGGAGTGCTGATTTTCTGTAGTTTCTTACTATGAGTCTCTTCATATATGAATTAAGTCTCCGGCTGAAATCCACTTTGTGAATGATCACACAAGTGTTATCCTTGCATCTGTTTTCCATACCATCCATGCAGCTTAGTATCCTGGTGAGGTTGTGTCTTAGTAAGGCATTATATCAATCAAGATAATATTATAAAGATAATGCGATTATTTAATTACATTATATTTCACTGAATGCAAAGTGTAGCTCCATCCGTTGAAATTCAGCAACATGTAGTCTCAGTTACTGCGTTGATGTGTGATTTGACATTGTAGTTCTTTGTGACCTTTCAAACCCCCGCCGACAGACATGGGGGCTCAGGGCCACATCGCCACCGAAGAGCTCAATGACCTTTTCAAGGCAGCCAACCTGCCCCTGCCAGGATACAGAATCAGAGAAATCATCCAGGACCTGACCGCGACGGGGGCGCAGCATGACGGCAAGATCACCTTCGACGAGTTCATCAGCGTGAGTGTGGATGAGCTTTCAGACCGAAGGCCACCAAAGTGTTTGCCGTGCTACTACCATAAAATGTACTAGAATTTTTTTATTTTAAAGTACCATTATCTTAATCAATAGGTATTAATTAGTCAAAGAAACTAGTTTTACACCTTCTTTTGCAGCTGCTCTTGCCCTGACGAAAATCACTAAATTGTTTGGTTTTGCTACTTATATGATGATTCAATAAAGTTCCATATACCTACTAGTGAAAAAATGTAAGTACTAGTTACAGTATTAGTCAGCATTCAGATATCAAGCCATCATGTTTCCTGCTGTCAAACGTCATCTGGGTGTTCTGAGACGGCCGTGAAAGGCAGTGGAAATGAGCACTGATTCCCGCTCCTGTCCTCCAGGTGGTTCATGGCATAAAGAGTTCGGAGGTATCCAAAACGTTCCGGCAGGCCATCAACAAGAAAGAGGGCATCTGTGCCGTGGCCGGGACGTCGGAGCAGTCAGGGACCCAGCACTCCTACGCAGGTGAGAAGGCCAGCCTCTCGCTGACACTCCGGGGGCTCACGTCACCTCCTGACCATTACTATTTATAAATGTCCGTTTCAGCTATTTATTCAGCTAAAATGATTCAAGTACAGTGATGAAGGATACTAAATCAGAATAGGAATAGAAATAGAAAGCCTTTATTATCATTGCAAAGAATTACAGCGAAATTAGGACACTCCCTGTGACATTACCCAGCATGCTTCACATTACTAATTGTTGTTCATGACTATACTGCTGCTCACTAACCCAGCTAAATGTGGCATTTAGCACCTGCCGTTTTCGTTCACCGTTCCTGCTCACAAATATCACCGCATAGGACATCATGTGATTTACTGTCAAACAGTGATTTTTCAAAGTGACTGTTTGGTTCACACCTTTCAGCATTTGTAAGTCAGGAAGCTACTGGGTAGAGAAATATATCTTGGAGAAACAACACAACATCTGGCTTCTTGTTCTTTGGGCACCTTTCATCTGCCTCAGGCCATCTGGGTGCTTCTACTGTCCTTGGGAACATCTTTTGTCTCACGATTTTCTGGACGCTTCTCTTTGCTTCACCAGAGGAGGAGAAGGTTGCCTTTGTCAACTGGGTGAACAAAGCCCTGGAGAAAGATCCTGACTGCCAGCACGTCTTGCCCATGAACCCCAACAATGATGACCTATTTAAGGCTGTGGGAGACGGCATCCTGCTCTGGTACGTCCCCCATCGTCTGGCCTCTGACCTCCTCTGTTCTCCCTTCCTCCAGTTTCTCAAGAGAATTTAAACTCAGTGTTGATGGCTGTTGGATTAAATTATAACCACCATGCAAAAAAGACATGCACATGGTGGAAATGTACTACAAATGGTTGAGAGAATCTGCTTGTGGGAGTTTTACTTACACTAAAATGTTCTGAGGGCTGAACGATTGGTTCAGAGAGATACAACAACAACAAACAAATTTATTTTTGTATAGCGCATTATCACAACATTACATTGTCCCAAAGCGCTTTACAGCATCCCCACCCAAAGCCCCCAGTGAGTAAGCCATAGGCGACAGTGGCAAGGAAAAACTCCCTAGAAGGAAGAAACCTTGGGAGGGACCAGACTCAAAGGGGGAGCCCATCCTCCAGGGGCCGGCAGGGAGAGTCAAATACAGTTAAATCTGAAACACAAACGGGTAGCAGGGGGGGAAATGACAAGCCGGTGCCACCGCTCCCTCCAATCGCCAGGCAGCCAGAAGGCAGGGAGCGGGTCATACAAGGAAGATAACACTGGCAGAACGGCAAGCTGGATGCACGGACGTCATTGGTAGTGGCGACGTCACATGTTGCAGGGTGTGCTGGACATCTTGATAGATTGAGGGCTCCAGGCAGCTCCCCCCAGGAGAAGTAGGGGAAATAAATGCAATTAGTCAAAGTAAGGGAGACTATAGGCAGTGCTAAAAGGTAGATGAGTGCAATATGAACTTAAATGCTCCGGCAGATATGGCTATGGCAGCATAAGTAGGAGGGAGAGGCAGGTGGGAATGCAGGCATGGGGAGTCCCTGAAATGTCAGCACTCCAATCCCACAAGCCATTGTGAAGCTAGAGTGACAGCACTGTCAATTCAGTTTATCCAAAGCCAATGGCACCGATCCCCACCCAGCTCTACACCTCACACTATAGGTTTAACTGGGAGTGAGAAGTTAGCTAGAGCTAGAACTAGTGTCCCTATAAGCTAAACTAAATAGGTGTGTTTTTAGTCTAGACTTGAATATTGAGAGTGATAACCAATCATATTGTAGAGCAGGTGGGTCCAAGCAACTAGAGGAGGTGGGACCATGAATCTGATCATGAGCAAAGAATTTTTATGAAGCACCCCACTACTGTAATGTCAAAAGCAACAAAACTGGCACTCCTTTTACAGTTTTTGTCTATATGCAGTCATTTCTTTAGCCAATGACTTTAATAATGCAGCAGATGTCAGGTGTTGCTTCAATTTTTCTGTCCCTTTCATTTGTTAGCAAGATGATCAACCTCTCAGTGCCTGATACCATCGACGAAAGGACCATCAACAAGAAGAAGCTCACACCTTTCACTATTCAGGTACCACACCCACAATTCGATTTGGTTTATTTGGCAGTCACTTTTCTCCAAAGCAACATTCAAGTGATGCAGATACTATATAATAAGCGTAGTGCTGTCAAGGACACATGCTGCAGGCAAAGTTTCCAACAAGTGACCAGTAACTAGTGCAAGAAAATAGTGGGAACAAGAGCTTGTCAAA